AGTTATATAATCCTCTTACACAATAGTCCAAAGGTAGGCAACTTTAGTCATTCCAGATGTTGTGGACTACATCTACCCTAGTGCTTTGCCTGCATTATGGCTGTACGAGCATTATGGGAAATGTAGTCCACAACATCTGGAGTGCTGAAGGTTGCCTAGACATATGTATAAATTCTACTTCCAGAACCCAAACCTTTATGTACATCTCCATATACCACAGTACTTTTTCTGCTGACATTAAATGACAGGATACCTCAATGATTTTCTTTATATCAGACTGATGGGTAGGTAACAGTAGCTTACAGAATATTTTAAGTTGCATTTATTTTGTAGTATTATCTGACTTAGACAGCCAAGGATGTGGACTGATGACTAGATGAATTAGAGAAGAAAAAATCCATTGTCAGAGTAAATATAATAAATATATAATATATTGTCAGGTTTCATAATAAATAAAAAATATATTGACAGGTCTGTCTGGAACTTGCCATTTGTATGACACATTGTCCTGCTAACATAACTCTGGGCAACTACAGTGTTGTAATAAACCACAGAATGATTTATAAGGATATGTAGATCAATAAACTGTTCGGGCAGAACAATATCTCATCCTCTCCACCAAAAAGGTTTAAACTAAAAATTCAGCTTGCCCTTACATAATACAGGTCCGATCCCCACATATAAGAAAAAAAAGATATAATTTAAAATTTCCATTTTTATATAAAGTCATAAATAACTATTTATGTACCGTAGATTCTACATATAGTAGTGACAACGATTTACCGCATGATTATATTTTATTGTGTTTAAGACTGATATGAAAGGTCATTGAAGAAGATACCTCATACCCCAAGGGATAACTGTGAACCTAACCAAATTTAACCTGTTAAAAATGTTTTCTGCACCGTCTGTTCTAAAGGCCATATTGATTTTGCTTAGAAATCGGGTTAAATAACAAAATCATCAAACCAGAAGCACAGTGGAATATTTGACTTGATATTGTTATACCAAACTAACCAAGCACTAAATTCTTTAACATTTTGTTAGATGATCTGTTGTCCAAAGATTTTTTTTTTCAGTGTTTGTATTCCTGTGGAGCAATGTCTCACTACCAGCTAATACAAACTCTGGATTCTGTGCCTTACTGTTTGCACCTATATTTTCTCAGAAGACAAAAATCTTAACTATATGAGATAATCCCACCTGGTACTGTGCTATACTGTATAGTGTTTGCCCCTGTTTGCAAACTATCACTGTGTTATCTATTTAATAATGCATCATATGTAATGTACTAAATATTTAACTTCAATATAATAATGAGCATTAGACATGTGCACTGCAAAAACAAAATTGGTTTGTCCAAATCAATTTGGAAAACAATTTTGTTTTGGGTAAACCAGGTTTTGTTACATCTCTTTGGCGTTATAGCTTACATGAATTTCGTCTATGCTATCGTATTGGGAAAAATTAGTTACAATAAAAATGACCAAAATGGTTTGAAAATACACGTTAGTGTAGCGTAAAATATATACATATCCTATCAATGCATGTGAAAACAAGTATGTTTTCCTGGCACTATAGTGGTCCTTTAAGCAAGGAAAAAATTTAACCAAAACAAAACCTACAGGGCTATTCACTACAGTGAGAATTCAAGGAGAATTCACAGTGAATTTCAAATTCTAAGTCAAAATAGCGAAACAGGAAATACTCTAGAAATCAGTTTTGCTTACAGTTCAGCTACTCTGGCCTTACAAGTGAAATTCACTTTGAATTTATTTTAAATTTTATAACATGACAGGAGGCTTCCTATTTTGCATTAACTCTCTTTACTAAACTCCACAGCAGTAAAGAAAACGTAAAGAGTAACAAGTAAATCACTGAGCAGCATAGTATATAAGGGTCATGCTGCCTGTACACTTCCTCTTTCTTTACTGCTCCATCGCAGACAGGTCAGAATATCTGCTCCTCTGGAGCTTTATACATTTATACATTTATTGTCATGATCTATTTGTTCCATTCTATTGTCATTATCTCTATTATTGTTTTAATTTATTTCCTTTTATTTCTGTTCTGTACTGGGCTGTGGGACTATGGGCTCTCTGTGGGTTTCTACCCTCTTATCTGCCCCTCTGTTCATTTTGGGACCCTCCCTGGGCCTCCCCTCGGTCTCCCCAGGTCCCCCCACTGCCCCCCTAACCTGGAGTGCCCTCCTGGGCTCCCTCCTTGCGGCCGGAATCGTTCGCGGCCGTTTTCGCTCCGGCCCACTTCTGCCCGCGGCCGGCCTCAAAATTTAGTCCCCGGCTTGCGGCCTACACTTGCGGCCGCGATTTTGGATCGCGGACATCGCGAGATTCCCGCGGCCATCTTAGTTTTGCCTCGTGCATCTCATTAGGGACTCAGTGTGGCTGTGCTAACTTGCTGTTACCTCTGCATTGCTGTTTTTCACACCTTTTGTGTCTCACACCCCTGTGACTGAAGGATTACCTGCTCAGCACTCCATCTAGCTGCAATCAGTCTGCTACTCAGTCTCTGTGCCTCATCTGCTTCTATCAAGCTATATCCTGTGGCTGGGTCAGTCAGGTCAGTGCTGCTGCCTGTTTATTATTGTGACCTGCACTTAAGGGTCCCAACCCTGTGCAACCGGGGTGAGCCCCCACTATAAATACGCTGCTTACTGGGAGACTAGCTGTTGCAGTTCTCTCTAACTGGGTGAGCCCCAGTTTATAAGGTCACTACTATACCCTGCTGGGGTTATTCTGGGCTTGGTCCCACCATACTATCAAATCTGACCCTACGCCTATTATCAAGACCTGGGTGCCCGTTTATTGCTGTGCCTTTCAGTGACGTATCAGCCTACCCTAACATGGAAGATTCCCAGAACGTCCCTGTGGACTTCCAGGCTATGATTAACGCAGATGTCGCTGCCTCTGTGGAGAAGGCACTCTCCAAGGCCCGAGCTCCGGCTCCTGACGTACCAAAAACCCGCAGACGTACACGACACGAATCAGATTCCGACTTGTCCGACTATCAGATAAGGGATGACTCCCGCCCTAAAAAGCGCCATGACAAAGGTGAAGATTATGTACCCAAACCGCCTAAGGGTAAGGCACCTGCCAAGTGCAAATCTGCCAAACTACACACCCCGGCCCCGCGTCAGGAGTACTCTTCAGACGAAGAGCAGGACCCTGCCCAGTCCATGTCAGTGCTGGATGAGTGGCAAGCTGACGCTTCTGAGTCGGACTACGATGCATGGGGCTCGGACGAGAAATCTGTCTCCGCTTTCATGCGGGAGACCCTCCTGGGTGCGGCCCAGACTGGAGGTGTTGAGGACACTGCGGACGCAGAACCTCCTCTAGACTCAGACACCATTTTGGACCCCTCAGGTCAGGCGATGTTCGACCCCCGCAACATACGGCACCCCAGATCGGGTGACTGGTCGCCTCCAGAACACCTTTCCAGGTTTATGCACCTGTGGCTCTGCAAACCTCTGGAGAAGGAGGTCCGCAGCCGACTCAGGTCTGAATGCCCACGCCCTTCCCTGCCGGATAAGGTCGCTCAGACCCCTGAATTTGACAAGGTCATGTCAACCTTCATGATGCGCAGTGGTAGAGACCCTCGCCGAGGGGTAGAGAAAGGCCTATGGGGCGCCCAGGATAACCTGCTGGATTCCGTAGGCCCCCTGGCTCGCATTATGTATCTGGCGGATGATGCCTACGCCAAAGCCGACTCCTTCTCTGCCGAGGACATCAGGGAATGGGCACATGACGTTCGTGAATGGGCACAACGGCGTTTTTGTTTCATTGGAAACACTGTTACGCTCTCTTCGGAGAGACGAAAAGCAGCTTTATACCGTATTAACGGTAAATTGGCAGACCTTGGCACAAAGGAGATTGGGCCCCAGGCACAAGGAAAACTATTTGGCGAACCATTCCTCAATGAACTCAACAAACACGTAAACGTGTTCACCTCACTTAATAAGGCGCAATCCTCTATGCGCAGAGTTTTCAGGAGCAACCCTACCAAAGGGTTTTTTGGAAGGGCTGGCCGGCAGCGGGGCCGTGCCGCCAGCCGATTTTGGCCTTCAGGCCCCCGCACCCAACCAACACTGTTCTACCCAACAAGGGACTATCGGCAGCAACCCTTTTCCAGAGGCTCGGATAGAGGTCGTGGACCCCGCGGACGCGGACGTTCCCGCTTTGCTGCAGGTAAGGACCCATATTCCTCCACTGTTACCATGCACCCGCACTGCGGGCCGTATTTCCCTTTCTTTCCAGAATTGGGCCGTCCTATGCTCAGACACATGGATTCTACAAACAGTACAGGGATATATCATAGACCTAGTGGGGACCCCCTTTCAGGTTCAGCCCCCTCGCCCCATCCACATGTCGTCCTCCGACCACAACCTCGTCAACGCGGAGCTACGCGAGCTCCGAGACAAAGGGGCCATCCAGCCGGCCCACGACGGGGGTGGTTACTTCAGCAACATCTTCCTGGTTCGGAAAAAGTCGGGAGAATACCGACCGGTCATCAATCTACGCGCCCTCAATGCACATGTGGTCTATCGCCACTTCAAGATGGAGGGCATCCACCTCCTGCGAGACCTTCTTCGAAGCAACGACTGGTTCACCAGGCTCGATCTGAAAGATGCATATCTGTCAGACCCAGTGCACCCGGACTGTCGAGCACTCCTACGCTTCCTCTGGCACGACGCCCTTGGCAATTCACTTGCCTCCCTTTCGGGCTCAGCTCAGCCCCATGGTGCTTCACCAAGCTTCTAAAACCAGTGGTGGCCCACCTGAGATCCAGGGGCATTCGATGCATCATCTACTAAGACGACCTTCTCCTCTTCTGCTCCGACGAACACAGACTACGCCAACACACTCACTTGGCAGTGTCCATACTGGAATCTCTGGGTTTCGTGGTAAACCAACCGAAATCGGAGCTGACCCCTACCCAGACGATACAATTCCTCGGCTTCGAGATCGACTCGACGACATGCACTCTGAGACTACCAGCCTCAAAGATCACAGCCATTCGCAAGGAGATTCGCAGGGTTCTCCATCTCGATTCCATTCCACTACGCAACCTGGCCAGGATTGTAGGACTCCTCTCTGCCTCCATTCAAGCCATATTTCCGGGTCCCCTCCACTACAGGGCCATGCAACGTCTCAAGGCGAAATACCTACGCCACAGACCTACTTACGACCAACCCGTCCCGGTGATGACGGAGGTTCGCGAAGAACTATCATGGTGGCTGGACAGCATGCAAGCCTGGAACGGCAAGGCCATATTCGGAGACACCCCAGACTTCGTATTGGAATCAGATGCCAGCCTGTGGGGATGGGGTGCCACCAACGGAACCATCTCCACGGGAGGAACATGGACGGCACAGGAGCTCTCCATGCACATCAATTGCCTCGAACTCCTGGCGGGATCCTTCGCGATCCGCAGCCTGGCCCGGGAAAGATCCAACTGCTGCATCCTCCTGCGCATGGACAATGTTTCCGCAGTACAGTACATCAACCGTCTGGGAGGCGCCCGCTCACGCCTGCTGTCGGATATCACAAGGGACATCTTCGACTATTGCCTCCCTCGCAACATCACGCTTCAGGCGGAATACTTACCGGGAGAAATCAACCTCGCAGCCGACTGGTTCTCTCGCCACTGGAGAGACGTCAGCGACTGGAAGCTAAACACGAGAATCTTCAGGGCCCTGGCAGCCCGGAGGGGTCCCTTTCACCTGGATCTGTTCGCCTCTCGCAACAATCACCAAACCCCGGAGTTTTTCAGCTGGCTCTCGGACCCGAAGAGCAAGGCGACAGATGCATTTCTCCAGCAATGGCCGACGACAGGAGCCTACGCCTTTCCCCCATTCTCCATGATTGCGAGAACACTACACCAGATGCGGACGCAACAGGTCAAACTGCTTGTCATAACACCCTTGTGGCAGAGCCAACTATGGTTCCCGGACCTCCTGGCCTCCTCCTACAAGGACCCTCTCCTACTACCATCCTTCCCGGACCTGCTCACGGATCCCAAAGGGTATCTCCACCCACTTCTCCTGGAAGACTGGCTACCCCTGGTGGCTTGGTCTCTTTCCGGGGTTCCTGGCGAGTCAGCGGACTATCGCAGGCTGCTAGGGACCTCTTATGGGACTCATGGGCCCCGGGAACTAGACGCTGTTACCTTTCAGCTTGGGCCTCCTGGTCTACTTGGTGCATGGAATGGGGCTCCGATCCTTTTACAGTACCTATTCCAATGATTCTTAATTTTCTTTCCTCCTTGTTTTCATCTGGCCGCTCTTACCGCTCGGTCAACGTCGTTCGCTCCGCGATTTTGGTGGCTCACACCCCCGTCGGGAATCTTCCGGTCGGCAAAGACCCTCTGGTCTGCCGCCTACTCCACGGTATGCGGCTCTGCCGCCCCCCGGCTCCCAGATACCCTCACCTATGGGATGTGGGACTGGTTCTCCGTTTTTTCAGGGATTTGCTTCCGAATGACCGCCTCTCCCTACGCCAACTATCCGCTAAGTGCGCTTTTCTCCTTTGTCTAGTATCTTTCCGACGGGTTTCGGACATTCGGGCCTTCGACGTGGACGCTTTCGAGGTGGCCCCCGGAAGGTGTCACGTTCCACATTTCCCGTCGCACTAAGTCGGGTTCGACTTCGGTCTTTTACCCTTTTTTCCCCGACGACCCGCAACTCTGTGTCATGTCCACCCTCCGCAGGTATGTTTCCGTTACCTCCTCACTCCGATCCTCTACGTCGGGCCAACTCCTAGGCTCCTACGTGCGCCCTCACGCCCCAGTCTCGGTCACCACACTGGCCCGATGGATCCGCTGGATCCTTTCCCTCGTAGGTATAGATCCCGCGTTCGGCGCCCACTCCGTTCGCGGTGCGGCGGCTTCATCAGCCTTCCTGGCAGGGGCGTCCCTTTCGGATATTCTTCGTACGGCGGACTGGTCTAGGGAATCCACTTTCCGTACATTTTATTTTCGCACTCCCCCTTCTGCTGGGATGTCACTTCTTCAGCATTAAAATTGCAAAATAGGAAGCCTCCTGTCATGTTATAAAATTGAAGATTATGCTAGCTTTAGTGTACTAATAATCTTAATTTTAATAAGGACAGGAGGCGAGTATTTTCCCTCCCTTCTGTTCCCTACCCTGACTCCTCGGGGGAGTGGATCTCAAGGTGACGGATATTGGGGTTGTTTTTAGTAGTTACTCTTTCATCAGGTTATATTTAGGATCTCTTCCATCTCTCTCCCTAGTATTGCCACCTAGACGGACAGTTTTCGTTGTACAACATGCTTACACCTAACACATACTTAGCCACTGGCCAGCTTACACTCTGTCTGTACTGATGTAATTTACACCATGCTGTTAAAACCCACAGGCGTGAACAGTTACAGTTCATTACCTAACCGTTTTTATACTCTCCTTTCAGTGTAACCCTCTTCAGGACCTCCACTGGTCGCTGGTTTGTTAACCTCACGACTCCGTAAAATGGGATGAAGGCTCCGTTTGGTCTTACCTCCAATCTCGTTATCAGGAGTCTCCTCAAGTTCCGCTCGCCAGAGACCGCAGTTACAGTTTTGTTGCGTTTCTGGATGTTCGAGCTCTATCTGGACTTGGATGTCGCTTCAAGAAAGAGGAAGTGTACAGGCAGCATGACCCTTACATACTATGCTGCTCAGTGATTTACTTGTTACTCTTTACGTTTTCTTTACTGCTGTGGAGTTTAGTAAAGAGAGTTAATGCAAAATACTCGCCTCCTGTCCTTATTAAAATTAAGATTATTAGTACACTAAAGCTAGCATAATCTTCAATTCTCACTTTAGTAAATACCTCTGCTAGAATGTGTGTTTGTTCCACCATTATTCAAGCGTTTCTCATTAAGTGCAGCTATACGTAGTATATTGTTTATTGTTTTTTTAAAGAAAAGAAAGGGCATTTATGTTATTATCATATATATAAAATGTCCCTGCAGGCTGAGCAATGTAAACACTGCCTTTTCAGAGAAAAGGCAGTGTTTATATTGCTGCCTAGGAGTGCCTCTAGTTTCAGTCACTCAGATGCTTCCTTGTGTGCATCACTGGCGTTCGGTGTCTCCACATGCTGATGGATCCCTATATAGATGCACTGAAAGTCAGGGGAATAAAGTACTGATCAGGAAAGAAGAGCTGAGACTACCCCCAAGATGATAAACTCAAACACCCTGACAGGTGCCGCAGGCTAAACCAATCTCAGTGGAGGAGAGGTGAAGAAGCAGCTTGAAGCAGCCAATCAGTTGACCTTGCTAATCTTGCTCCAATTAAACCAGACTGGCATCTTAAGAAAGATGTATTTAATCTTTCAAGATTCTTTTGTTTTAGGAATTGTACCAGAGGATTGGAGGAAGACAGGTGTCCAGGGCCGCCATCAGGGCATGACAATCGCAACGGTTGTCATGGGCCCGGCGGTCCAGGGGGGCCCAGACTGCTAAGGTCGTCCGGGCCCCACATTCAGTGGGTACATACCGGGTCGCAGGGGGCCCTGCGACCCCGGTATGTACCCACTGGGCCAGCCTCTTCTCCTGGGGGGCCCAGCAGCCGGTTACCTCAGGGCCCCCCAGAGGCTGGCCCTGACAGCGGGCCGGCGCGCGAGGGAGCACTCTCCTCTGAGTGCTTCCTCTTCAGCTCCCTCGCACACCGTACTGATGCCGGAGCCGGAAGATGATGCATCTTCCGGCGCCGGCACTAGTACGCGGCGCGCGAGGGAGCTGAAGAGGAAGCACTCAGAGAGTGCTCCCGGCGCCAGCTGTCAGAGGGAGGGGGGGAATTTGAGGAGGGGGAGGAAAAATTTAAAGGAGGGAGAAAAATCTGAGGAGGGGAGAAATAAATTTAAGGAAGGGAGGAGGGGAGGAAACAAATCCCATGGAAAGGAGGAGGGAGGAAACAAATTTAAGGGAGGGAGGGGGGAGGAAATTTGGAGGGAGGGGGGAACAACTTAAGGAAGGAAGGAGGGGAGGAAAGAACCTAAGGGAAGGAGGGGAGGGGGAAATCTGAGGGGAGGGGAGGAAGAAACTTGAAGGGGGGGGGAGATGAAGGAAACTGAGGGGGAAGGGAGGGAACTGAGGGGGGAGAGGAAGGAACCGAGGAGGAAGGACATTTCAAAGGAAGAGGAGGAAGGAAATTTGAGGGGAGGGGCGGAGAGGAAGGAAATTTGAGGGGGGGGGAGAGGCTGAACTGAGGGGGGAGAGGAAGACACCTGAGGGGGGAGAGGAAGGAAACTTGAGGGGGGGGGAGAAGGCAACCGAGAGGAAGGGGAGGAAGGAAATTGGAGAGGAGGGGAGAAGAAGGCTGAAGCTGGAGGGGAGTACAGCTGACATTGAGGGGGGGGAGAAGAAGGAAATTTGAGAAGAAGGAAATTGGAGGGAGGGGGGAGGAAGGAAATTTCTGGGAGGGGGCAGAGGAAGGAAATTTGAGGGGGGGAGGAAGGAAATTGGAGGGGGGAGAAGGCATTGAGAGGGAAGGGGAGAAGGACATTGGAGAGGGAGGGGGAGAAGAAGGAAATTGGAGAGGGGAAGAAGAAGGAAGTTGTTGGGGGGGAGAAGAAGGAAATTGGAGCAGGGAGAAGAAGGAAGTTGGAGAGGGAGGGGGAGAAGAAGGAAATTGGAGGGTGGGGGAGAAGAAGGAAATTGGAGGGGGGAGAAGAAGGAAATTGGAGAGGGGGGAGAAGAAGGAGGGTGGAGTGGAGGGAGAGGGAGAAAGAAGAAGTGGAGGGAGAAGGAGAGGAGGGGAGAAGAAGGAAATTGGAGAGAGGGAAGGAGGGGGAGAAGAAGGAAATTGGAGGGGGGAGAAGGAAATTGGAGGGGGGGAGAAGGAAATTGACGGGGGGAGGGGGAGAGATTGACATACATCACACAGAAAAACAAACAATGCATTACACACAGACACACATACACAAGCAATGCATCCCTTACACACAGCAACACACAATGCACCCCTTACACACACTCAATGCATTCCTTACAGACGCACACACTGCATCCCATACATACACAAACTCACCTTGCAGCCCTTACACATACAAACACAGATTCACACAATGCATTCCTTACACACATCAGGACATCCCCCCCACACACACTCCACCCCCTGTGAACAAACTCATTGGTGGAATATGAAGGTGGATCCTGGGACCCAGACATTGAGCTGTGTAAAGGGCCCTCAAAAAAATGGAGCTGCTTCCCGTTGATCCCAGAACATTGATTTTTGTGACCACAGTTACAAACCACCTCCAGAGAGCCTGTTCTACACTAGACCAGTGGAGCCAGACGGGAGCAAGAGCCCATCATCATCCTCATCTGGTTGTAAGTAGGCAACCTAGTATATTATTTGTGGCACTAATCTCTAATTTACCTCACATTAAAGGGACACTATAGTCCCCAGAACCACTACAGCTTAATGTAGTGGTTGTGGTGTCTAGCCTGTCCTTGCAGGCCTTTTAATGTAAACACGGCAGCACTGCAGCACTGGTGTTAGTTAACATGGCAGATCATATGGGTGGGGCATTGTGATGTCACATAGGGGGGCGGCAAACTTTACTTTTGCCTAGGGCGGCAAAAATCCTTGCACCGGCCCTGCAGACACTGCATTCCTGTGGGCGGACTAGGGGGTGTGGGGGCTGCAGCACTTTTGGCGGACTCGGGTGCAGGCACCGGGGGGCCCAGACCTTGAGCTGTGTCAGGGGCCCCACAATTTCTGATGGCAGCCCTGCAGGTGTCATTCCTATATTTTAAAAGGGTTCCTGTGAGCTGAAGTTCTGTGATTGAGAAAATATTTGAAGGGCTATTAAGGGATAATATTCAGGAATTCATTGGGAAGAACTCTGTTATTAGCAATAATCAGCATGGTTTAATGAAACATAGGTCATGTCAAACTAACCTATTTGTATTCTACAAAGAAGTAAGTAGGAGAATAGATTAGGCTGTTGCAGTGGATGTGATCTACTTGGATTTTGCCAAGGCATTTGATATGTTTCCTCACAATAGGTTAGTGTTCAAACTAAAAGAAATTGGTCTAGATGAATATTGTTGTTCTTGGTTAGAACATTGGCTTAAGGATAAAATACGAGTTGTCATTAATGGTAATTTTTCAAGCTAGACAAAAGTGGTAAGTGGTGTCACTCAGGATTTTGTTTTGGAACCGCTTTGTGGCAAACTCACCCATTTAAGGGAGTTTGCAGTGAGTTTTTGCAAGGGCCTGCTTGCCCGCCTCCTGCCTCATGACTATGGCCCTGGAGTGTATGGCACTTTAAGAAACTTACGTGGGGCTTATGGACTTCTATTGGACTGTGTATGGCCCTTTAAGAACTGCATTTGGGCTTATGGACTTGCATTGTACCGTGCTGGCCCTTTAAGAACCGTCTGGGAACATATTGAGACTTTGTGTGAAAATGCCCCTTTAAGACTATGTCCCTAAACCTTTAAAATCTTTTGTGCAGGGTTTTCTCCCACTTGGTTCAGTAAATGGGGCTTACTGAACCAAGTGTTACACAGGCGGACCACCCAGAAGTGGAAGTGTGCAGACAATTTACCTCCGAACACGGTCAGCTGTGTGTGCAGCCAAATTCATGGAACTGAAATCGGCTACACATTTCAACGAACACCGCTGACCCTTACCTACCTACACTTAGACTCTGCGGCTGAAAAATAAGTCCCGTTCGGCAGTTTGAATGTATGCTATACTGAGCCAGTTGCACAAATGGTGCCCCGTTCATGCATTCGAATGGGACTTGGTCATTTTTTCTGCCTGCAATAGGACTTCCAGTTAACTTTTTAACCGCTGGAGGGATTTGTATGATTTTTGAGAGTGTATATATTTAAAGTATGCTGATTATTAATATGTAATTTTATGAAGATTGAATGTATAGTTTTAAAATTTCAGTACATGTGTAAAAAGTATATTTTTCCTTCCTGTGATAATTACATTAACCCATTGTGTTCAGTAATTATATCACAGGCAGAGGGGAAAATTTTGTGGGAATGAATGGGAGTGTTTTACTATATATTACGTGTTTGATTGGTTGTTCTTAAAAACCCTGCGCTAGGAGCATTCTTCAATGGAGGTACCCAATCGGGGTGCCAGGTGATCCGTTACACGCTTCTATTTAACATATTTAACAATTATCTTGGAATAGGCATTGAAAGCCATGTTTTAGTGTTTGCAGATGACATACAACTTTGTAAAGTAATAAAATGTGAGCAGGATATTGCTTTGCTGCAGAGGGATTTAGATTGGGGGACTGGGTACTAAAATGGCAGATGAAATTTAATGTCGAGAAATGCAAAGTTATGCACTTTGGCGTCAAGAATGCACAAGCAACTTACACCCTAAATGGTAGTGAATTAGGGATAACAACTCACAAGAAGTATTTGGGAGTTGTTATAGACAACAAATTAGGCAGCAATATGCAATGTCCATCTGCAGTTGCTAAGGCCAGTAAGGTTTTGTCATATATAAATAGGGGCATACATTCTCGGGATCCAAGTATAATTTTGCCTCTTTATAAATCACTGGTAAGACCACACCTTGAATATGCTGTGCAATTTTGGACACCTGTTCTAAAGAAGGATATCGTGGCACTCGAAAAAATGCAGAGACGAGCTACAAAATGGATAAAAGGAATAGAGCATTTAGTTATGAAGAAAGGTTGAAAAATTTAAATCTCTAAAGTTTGGAAAAACGGCACCTCAGAGGGGATATGATAAAATTATACAAATATATTCAGGGCCACTACAAACAATTATCTGGAAATCTATTCATAAACAGGACTATACATAGGACACAAGGTCATACATTTAGACTGGAAGAAAAGAGATTTAATCTAAGGCAAAGAAATGTTTTTAGCAGTGAGAACTATAAGGATGCCTGAAGAGGTGGTTTTATCAGAGTCAATACAGATGTTTAAACAGCAATTGGATATATACTAGCAAAAACCCAACATACAGGGTTTATAATTTCTAATTAGTGGGGTAATAGATGATTGATCCAAGGAGATATTGCCATTTTGGGGTCAAGAAGGAATTTTTTCCTAGTTTGTTGCAAAATTGCAAGCGCTTCAGACTGGGTTTTTTGCCTTCTTTTGGATTAACAACAAAAGGAGGAAGGCTGAACTTGATGGACGCAAGTCTCTTTTCAGCTGTAACTATGTAACTATGTTGTCAAGAAGCTGGAAAAGTTGGAGAGTAGAACCCAATGTGCAATTGCTGAATAAATGGTCTGAAGACAGTGAGGCTTTTTTATAATAAATGCACATTTTTATTTTTGTAAACTGTGGTTGGAACCTTTGCTTTGTATAACAATGTCACTAAGAGATCTGGTAGTAACAATGTCTTGCGTCCGATCTCCTCTCCACCCCCACTTCACAAATTCATTCACAGAACATTCATTTACTATTCCTATCAGAAGAGGCACTTGGACCAAATGTTAATGTTTAAAGATCAACGTTTTGTACTTTTAATCTGCACAACTAATATTACATTTTGGTGAGATTTAAAGTGTCAGTATCATATTTTATGTTTAAATATGTAATTTAATTAAATATGAAATTGCTGACCTCTAAACCATTGACATATTTGAGCCATATATTTGAGACATATTTAAGCCTAAACTTTCAATTTAAATATTAAATGGATTGCAAACAGTAGCAGATTTTACTGTTGGTATTCGTATGTATTATATATATTATTATTATTATTATTATTAATGACTTAACACTTAACAAAAAAATTACATATCATTCCTGATTGTTAAATGCCTCAAAATAGATTCATATATCATCCCTGATTGTTTATATGCCTAGGCTCTATGTTATTTTATCATAGTTAATGCTAACCCAATACTAACTCTAAATCTATACTTACATTAACCGTACACCTTACCCCTAACCTTACCCCACACGAGGGTTGCCCAAAAGGTAGATCCCCAGATGTTTTAAAATTAAAGCTCCCACGATGCTTTGTTATTCTAAAGGCATTCTAAAGGCATGCAAAGCATTATGGGAGATGCAGTTCTACAACATATGGGGATCTAGTTCTGAAATTTTAAACAGAATGAACTCTAATCCTGTATTAACCATGACTCTACCCTAACACTAACCTTAACCTAACACAAACCATAACTGTCACTGGCAGAGATTCCCTCTGTTGACATCAGCAGAGGGATACCTTAACCAAAACAGAAGAGAGTGATCTGTGAGTGCCATCTCCTTCTCTTGCTGCAGCCCCAGCATGCTGCACCTGCCATTTACACAGTGATTAGTACTGGCCAACTGGCAAAGCCAGTTCAGGTATCCTACACACAGAATGCAAATACTAGTAATGTATACCGGACCTTAAGGTGGCCGGACTAACACTACACACAAAGAATATTCAGAAGTACCAGAAATCAGGATCAACGATAATGCAATAGCCAAGGTCAAAGGAACACAGAAGGGGGAATAGTCAAACAAAGCCAAAGTCAGAGTACAAGAATACCATTACGAGATACACATTCTTGGGTCTATCAAGAACCCCAACAGGGCAATGAGTCTCTCCCTGGTTACTCTTTAAATACCTATTTCAGTTGGGTAAGTTACCATGCCCCCAAAATGATCTTGTTCGAACACCTTGGCGGACCGTGGCATTTTTAGCATCATGACGTCGGTGCTCATTAGCCGCGTCATAAAAGGAGGCGTGTTATCGCGGCTGGCGTGAGAATCACTGGGGACAAGCTGAGAGTTGGTAGGAATGTACCAAATACCCTGCAATGTGATGCCAGCCTATGACATGCCCCTGACTGATACACAAGGTAACCTGACAGCCCAGCACCAATAACAATCAGCAGGAGGGCATGTTACACAGTACCTGCTCATTCCTACCTTATCTGTCAGCCACCACATCACTTTGGCATCCTCCACCTGAACCTGCACCATTTTGGTATCAATTGTGAATCTGGACACTGTATCACCATGTCCACCAAGTCCGCACACACAGGAATGACAAAACTGCAGGTATAAAAGGCAATGACCCATATATAAATAAATAACATAACATTATTCCAACATGAACATAACTTAAAGTTCCAACATCTTTATTAACCATGGTAGGGGTATACCCGATACCCCTACCCCACCAGGTTCTGAGCCACCAAGAGGGCTCGAAATCTAACAAACGTACCAAAGACCATTTTCACCATTTCCGTAACCATCCTACTGGGGAGCCTATTTCCTATCCTTCAGCTCCCTATCCCACTGCTGTGACAAAACAACTACCAAAAACCCAGGGAGGGAGGGAGGGAAAAACTCAGTTAGGCAGGCAAGTTAAAAGTGATTTTTCTAAGATGGCTGCCTATTTATATAGCCCAACCCCTAGCCCCAAAACCCACCAATCCCTACATGCTTCCTCCTATGCCTGCCTCCTAGCCCTGTCAAGGCCCCTTTCCACTAAGCTGCGCTTTTGCCACATGGGGCTACAATAGATTTGCTCACAAAAAGGGCAAAAATTAAGAATGTTTTATTTGTTAAGATAAATGGGATTTTGCTGCAAACTACTTAAAAGGGCTGCTGTAGACAGGAAAAGACAACTATAAGCCTTTTGACAGAAAAGAACACAGTGAGAATGATTTTATTGTTCAGGAAAAGGCATGTATAATTATAAAAAGTGCAACATAACATATGAACAAAGATTTGAAATTCTTTTTTTTTTTTAAGTGACAATAATACAGAAATGGAGAGCATTGTTAACAGCAACAAACTTTTAACATGGACGAGGAGACGGTCTCTGGAAATCTATTGAAAAAACAGACATTAAGTAACAAAATGCAAAATGTAATTTACTACCCTGAATGTACAGTAATTTACCTAGTGTTTTTGCATTAACCAAATGTGGATAAAATGTGAATTTCAATTGCAATAAATGTAAAATAACAACAAAAATATATATTTTCTGCACACTATGTTTTTGAAAGTAAAGCAACAGTTAAATAAAACACGAGAAGAAAAAGCCAACATAGCCAAGAATTTCTCAAACTGTATCTATCTGTGGCATAACAGTCTTGTGCACAGAGACTTTAAGGCATTTTCTGATCTACAGAGTAAAGGTTTGGCACGACGAATAAACAGAAAATCTTGTCAAAAGGATCACAACAGAGACGCTTGTAAATGCCATCTAATAGGGAAAAGTATATGGTTATCTGTTCCAAAAACAGAGTCAATGAAACTCAATAAAGCTTCTGCAACTTATTCACTCAAATATACACGTATGTGGTCCAATACAGCCAAGGCCAGTGCAAACATCTTGGGCTACACAGATACTATTTACATTCCTCCAAGGAGACAGGTGGTGATTAGTTTCTGTCACTACATATGTTTCAGTGTGGGCCATGTCAGTGTGACTGGATGTGCAATTTCAATGTCTACCCATTTCTGTGTGCAGCATCTATATGGGTGAGTGAGTTCACCTGTATAATGTGTATGCGCATGTGTTTGTCTGCGCAGACTGCAAGTGTGGCAGCGTTTCTGTGTGTGCAATGTGAGAATGGAGGCATATATGTCAGCAGGGCCCGTGTGTGAGTTATTATCAGTGTTGACTGAATAAAGCACAAGGGAGGATTCACCTCCTAACACTGTTTAGCGATGTGGATATGTTCTTAAAGAAAGCTGTCCAAAACTTTGTATTTCATTAAAACGTAACATTTATTTTCAAAAACATATAAAAAAAAAAAATACCATACCAACCTTGTTGCTTTGACCCAGCTGCTCTGGGGACACGTTTTTGTTTTTTTTTTGTTGTGTTTTGTTTTTTAGTTTTTCAAAGCTGCAAGGTTGCTGTTGTATTATTTTTAAAGAGATTTGAAAATAAATGTTACATTTTAAGGGATTACAGTTTTGGACAGCTTTCTTTAAGAACATATATATATCTCTAAGCAATGTTGGCAGGCGAATCCACCCTTGTGAATTATCTGATATACCACTCCTTTCAGGATGCTGGGCTCCACTGTTCACAGAATACTCTGTAAAGTGTGATTTTTCTTTTATTTTTTTTTTACATTTTTGGTTTTCTTATGATACAATTTTTGCAGGTTCTAGGATCTTTCTTTCCATGGCACTGAATTGTGTTCATTCTGTGTTAATTGCAAGTGCTTTCTTTGTATATATATATATATATATATATTTGTGTAGGTGAGGTGGATGTTTTATTAGGGTAAGGGGACACATTATACTTTTTGTCTGTTCCTACAACCCCCTTTTGAATGTCTCACAAACCCTTGCATATGTCTTTCTCTTCCACAACCCTTCACTGTGTGTTTCTCTCTCTTCCACAACTCCTGTAGGTCTATGTCTCTCTACCATAACCTCCATGTGAATGTCTCTCTTCAACAACTTCCCTTCTGTGTGTATTTCTCTCAACAATACCCCCTTTTGTGTTTCTTTATCACAATATCCCTTCTGTGCGTGTCTCCCTTGATCAATCCCCTTCTCTCTGTGTTTTTCTCTTGTACCCCCTTCTATGTATCTCTCTTTTCACAAACCCTCATTTTGTGTGTCTCTTAAGCTGCCCTTCTGTGTGCATTTCTCTTCCATAACCTCAATGCAACAATACCTTGTCTTTTTCACAACCCCCCTACTTTGTGTTTGCCTCTCGCCCAATCCACATTTCCCTACCTTCTGACCTGCAGCTTTTCAAAAACCACCCATTCTCTTTGCCCAAGCTAAATTTCCACTACTGTATGATGTGTAAGCCATTAAGAGGCAGGACATAACATATCCCATTCATTTACATAGCTGTCCACAGGGATCAAAAATATGCTGAAACTTCCCTCTGGTCCCTCAACATGCAACCAGAGTCAGGAGTTCTAAAATAACCACAGCACATCTCGGTATCAGGAAAGCATCAGGACATGCTCTACAGATACTAGCCAATTCTCAGCGATAGAATCAGCATTTTCTTGGCTCTCTAAGATTTAATGGTAGGTTGTGATCAATGTTTGGCCACCTCATTGCCGAGAGGATTTTGTAAACTCCGACTGGGGCCTTACGGTAGAGCTTGTCCTGAATATAGCCAATGTCTTGTGGGCATAATAAGTATATACTAACATTTATTGATGATTATCCCAATTATTGTATGCCTTATCTCATAAAAGGCAATAAACTGCAGAAAAGTTGAAGGCATACATTGCAAGTGTTGAGAACCTGTATGGGAGAAAGCCTCAAACACTGCTAACAGACAACGGGGGTGAGCAAATTATATTGCTGGTTATTTAGAAGAGAAATGAATAGAACACTTGGATACAATACCATGCAGTCCAGAACAAAATGGAGTAGCTGAAAGAAGGTTGGTCACCTGATCATCACTCTTTAACGGTCAGTGGCATGTTAACAGATTCATAGTTGCCACAAAAATACTGGGCTGACGTAGTTATGACGCAGTTATGACATATCTGCAAAACAGATTACCTACAAAACCTGTAAAATTACACCCATGAGAGCATTTGGATCTGA